ATTATAACGTGTGTTGATCCTGCTAGAGTACAGGAGAAGAAGGTGGGACCCCTGAGAGCACCCCAAATCAAGTTCACAAGGAGACTTGCTGGTTGCAAGGAGATTACAAGACGGCAACTAACGACCTTCTCCATTCGCTACAACATTCTCCGTGTCAATAATTCACTAACCATTGCACTTCTGAATATAGCGACCATAACTCATCCATGTCAAAAACAGTGAAGGGGATCAGGAGAGAAATGGAGCATCTCTATTGATGTTTTGGCCAATTCAGGAAAAGAGTGGACGAGTTTGCCTTCAAGTTTAACCGTTATAGAAAAGGATAAACAGTTCAATTACCATATGAATGCTAAACGAGCCAAGCCACATAGCATGTTTCCGTGATGATAAAACCTTTGTTTTTATGCCAAGAAAGCATCTCTGTCTTCTAGTGTTCAAGCCACTAGCAGCGCCAGGGCGGACTATTAATGCATTTATGTTGTCTTTTCTAATTAACTTCACTCTGCATTTCCTTCAGTATCATGCCCCATTGCATGTTCCACAGCAAAAAAATAATATAATAATAACTCTGTTTATAGTGTTTGGGAAAGGTAGTCAGGAAGGCATCATAGAGGTTGCCAGCAAGTCAGGGCTGTTTCTTCTCATGTCCTGTCCACCAGGTAGGCGACTTTCCCCCATAAATGTATATGTATAAAAAGCTAATGATTGCCCCTTGTTTTAAATGAACTCTGCTCAAGCAATCTCAGAGAGCTGTGTACTTAAGAATCCTTTGTATGAATGGATATCAGATACAAAAGCCTTGTACCACAGCTAAAGGCGATCTGTATTCAGTGAGGATAAGCTTTCTTTTCTTTGTAAAATATGAAGGTTTCAAAACCTTGTGAAACCGGTCTGCAGGTTTGTGTTTGCGTAGGAAATGCAAACACGATCTCTGAGGTTTTTCCTGAAGGAAGGAAGCGCCCCATGAGCTAAGGCAGCCCTGGTGTCCACACCCACGTGCTCAGGAAAACAGTGTTTCCACCGGGGTTGAAGGAGCCTCTGATCTTCCCCCTGGACGTTGAGAGGCTCTTCCCTGGAAAGTGCCACAGAGGGTGCGATCCGTGAGCCGTGAAAGCAGAAAGCCAGACGACCTCACCATGTAAATTTGAACTAGATCCGATTCCTCTCAGAGCCAGTACCGGTGGCTGCGTGCCTTGCTGTGCACAGGAACCCACGGCTCTTGTGTCTGTCGGAGGCTTCGGTGCTCCCGGATAACACAGCATGCCCTTGTGTGTCCCATGATCATCTGCATAAGAGGACAATGTTGTTTTTTTCAGTGATGACAAATTATCCAACATTTTTCTATGACCTTTTTAGCTTTTTAGAAGAGACATTATCAAGGGTTTCCCCTCAGTGTTCGTTTATCGGATCTATTCTGTTGTGAATTGCAATCAACAAGGAAGTAATAAATTAATAAGGAATGGGTCACCCTGTGATTTAGGTATCAGTTTCCTTTCAGGGCCCCTAGGCTCATGGTGAGTCCTTCTTTTAAGTGTCTTGGTTTGCTGAGTCAGCGGCCAGTTTTTGTCCCCCAGGGTCATTGGTTTAGGCCTGGGAAATGTTGAGGGATCTTGTGGGGTGATCGGTGGAGCCTCCAGCTCCTAGAACGTGAGCCATTTCTATTGGCCCGCTGTGTAATTCACACTGCCGGCACCACACCCTCCCAAAGATCCGTCAGGAATCTCCTGTTTTGGCTGAAGAGTAGCAAATGCTTTGGAATTCTTAGCAAAAGTTGAATTAGTATCTTGTAAGAGGTTACAAGATATTTCCACATCAGTATCTTTCCCTCTTCAAGGAATTCCTCTGCAAAATTTTGAGGGATTTCATGTACGTAGGGGGAGAAAGAGCAGCCGGGATTCAAGCCATCCCTGGCTCAGTTTACCTAGGAAAGTGCTTCGGTAGGAACATAATTTCACGAGCGCAAAATCCCCCAATTTTATGAGACAAGATTTGCATCCTGTTTCCACAGTGGAAATAAAAGCAGCTTTATTGGCACAAGAAAAAATTAATTTGAAATGTAAAATGTTCACTGTCATTAAAAATACCAGAATGAGGGATATGGTGTTACAATTACACTCCAAATATAGCTTCCTAAAACCAAAGGGAAAAATCATTTTTGTAAATACCATGTATGTTCACATTAAGTCTCTTCCTGTTCCTAACACACACTTAAGTTATTAAAAAACGTCTGCTAGAATAGTTTTTCCTTTCCATAGTTTCAGTCAATCTGATGTAAATGTTCTCACCGAGCCTTTGAAATATTCCACCCAGGTTTGGAGTTGATTGATCTCTATTCCCCGTGTCAGTGCTTCTGTGAAACCTCCATGCTCAGTAACAGAATGCAAGTTTCATGTCTGCCAAGGTCAAGGGGAGAAAAGGGGTCTTGGTCAGCTGTTTTGATGTCCATGTGTGTCACCCCAGAGCTAATTCTGATGAAGAGTTTACTGGATACTCAAGGTCCCGCCAGGCACTGGGTCTAGGGTGTCATAAAAATAAGGTTGGATAATTATGTCATGACTGGTTTCATATCACTCTGCTTAACATCGTTCTGCATTATGTGGCTGAACACAGAGGCAACGGCAAAAAAAACGAATGAATGAGCCGAATCTCCTACCTGCGTCTGAGTTGCAGGAACTAAATATCATTGGAGAAGGAAAAAAAAACCAAACTAAAATGTATGAGCATTTTTAGATCAAAACTGTAGATGCTGTCTGAGTTTTTTTCATTTTCCCAAAATTGTGGGTACACAGCCATTTTGATTCTTAAAGAAAAAAAAAAAAAGAAGGAACAACAGTTGTTCAAGGAATCAAGTGTTTAACGTACTGGGATGATGAGTCATCAAACCTTAAACCTGAGATTCTGTTTTGTGCGGTGGATTTGAGAAAGAAAGTTCTTATAATCACTTGAGAATTATGAGACATGTCCCCAAATTAGAAATCATCTTTGGACCTTTGTTAATGCACTGCTTTCTTTTCTCCTATGTGCATGGTAATGCACAGTTCCATGCAACTGTAGTTCCCTCCAAATTTAGTAGAAATTTCCAGAACACACTCAAGATTTCTCCCAGAAGAGTGAATAGAGTGTCTTGGAATTTAATGACAAAGATGGCGCAGATGAGGATTTGGTATTAAATGCCTATGTTCAATACCATTCATTTCTGTTAAGAAGTTGCCTCTTATCCATTCAGAATGCAGAACCGAAAGAGAATTTCATGTTCCTTAATCAACATGTGTTTTGGTGGTCAGTATTTCGTGTTTCTTATTGGTTTCCAAAGAAACATGTCAGAACACTGAATGATGCATGTGGTCACTTGTTCTAACACTTCACATTTTTTGCATTTCTCTCTTTTAAAGCACAAGACTCTGCTGACATTATTTTCCTTATTGATGGATCAAACAACACCGGAAGTGTCAATTTCGCAGTCATTCGCGACTTCCTTGTAAATCTCCTTGAGAGACTCTCAATTGGAACTCAGCAGATCCGAGTGGGGGTGGTCCAGTATAGCGATGAGCCCAGAACCATGTTCTCCTTGAGCACCTACTCCACCAAGGCTCAGGTTCTGGATGCAGTGAAAGCCCTTGGGTTCCTTGGTGGGGAGTTGGCCAATGTCGGGCTCGCCCTTGAATTCCTGGTGGAGAACCACTTCACCCAGGCTGGGGGCAGCCGCGCGGAGGAAGGGGTTCCCCAGGTGCTGGTCCTCATAAGTGCCGGGCCGTCTAGTGACGAGGTCCGCGACGGGGTGGTGGCACTGAAGCAGGCTAGCGTTTTCTCATTTGGCCTCGGAGCCCAGGCCGCCTCCAAGGCAGAGCTTCAGCACATAGCTACCAATGACAACCTGGTGTTTACTGTCCCGGAATTCCGTAGCTTTGGGGACCTCCAGGAGCAATTACTGCCGTACATTGTGGGCGTGGCCCAAAGGCACATTGTCTTGCAACCGCCAACCATTGTCACACAAGGTACGTATGCTTTCCTCACCATCTGCGTGGTGGTGGGCTGTTCTGGGTGTGGTTTTGTAGAGGTCAGGAGGGCACCTTGCAGAATGATTCACCTCGGGAGAACCTGTAAGTACCCACAGTCAAGCCCTCCCCAGAGGAGCGAGCTCTTGGATGTGGTCTGTGACGGCTGCAGTGCTCCAAACACCCGGAGAGCTGTGAGTGCGTGGAAAGCTCTTGTCAGAGCCTGAGCCGTCAAGAAAGGGTGCTTTAAGGAAAAAGGTGTATATATGTGTTCGGGTTCTTTTCCATTACAGCTCTTTGCAAGAAACTGAATATAGTTCCCTGTGCTGTACAGTGGGTCCCTGTTGCCTGTCTGTTTTACATATATAATGTGTATCTGTTAATCCCAAACTCCTCATCTATCCCTCCTCCCTCTTCCCCATTAGTAACAGTTGGTGAAGGAAGTGTGCTTTTAAGGCTAATTCAACAAACCCGTGACTTTGAGTTTATGAAACACTATCGTGTCATCTACTTATGACACAGTCATCCTAAAAATGGGTCTCGGGGGCTCATTACAAGTCTGAGGAAAGTACTGCAGGGTAATGGCCTGAGCTCTGCGTCAGCGTGCTAGCCTTGCCCACAGGTACGTGACAGCTGTCTCCCCTGACTCATTTTTACACTGGGTAGCAGAAGTGGCACTTCTGGAGGTAAGAAATAACGGAGCACTCACTCGGTGGAATATTTAAGAAAGCCTTTTCTCCCCTGCTTATCAAGTTGAGGGGAGCGCTATCAAGTGGAGTGGAGAGATTACACACGCAGTTGGAAGGCCTTTGGCAAAAGAACCCCATTGACGTCATTTTTAAAAAACCCATAAAACGAATCACGTCACATAACAAAATGCATTTAACAGGTCAAATGTGGGAGGATGGGGGGTGTATTTCAAAACTGAAGTAAGACTAGAGTGGTGCTCGATGCTCTAGCAGGTAAAATCCAGCAGATGCAGGTGAACCGAATTACACTAACTGGTGATCTCTGACTGTCAGAGATTTTATTACCAACGGTATTAGGCATATTGCTGGGTGGGGTAAAGTAGAATGGATGCAAAATGACATCCTGAAAATTCTCTGGATATTTCCAGACATCCCTCTGATTGGAATACAATCTCTCACAGTTTCTCCCAGCTTGCCTGCTTTTGGAAACAAACGAACAACTTCCATGGGTTTTGTAAACACTGAGGAAGTGTTATGGCTGCATTAGGGAGAGTGGGTCTCTGGTCTCTGGTCTCATGTTAATCTGCTGTGTGATCCTGGGCAGGCCACACAGCCTTTCTGGGCTCCAGGGAGGTGAGGTTGAGAAGGGGCATGTTGAGAGCGAGGAGAAACAGATTTGGGCCTCGGTGGGGCAGGATGGGGTGGGAATGGGCTGGAGGGAAGAGGCTGGGCAGAGGGTGGGTGAGGGTGAGCTCAGAGGTGGGGACGCTCTGGATATGGGGAGCCTGGGTGCGGGCCTGGAAGCGGGTGCTGGGGGATCAGGGGGATGTGGGTACAGAGGAAGACAGCTCTGGGGAAGGGTGATGGGGGCTGGGTGTTTGAGGAGGATTTGCTTGGGAACAGTAGATGGGAAGATGAGGACAGTCATCCGGTCCTGGGCTGGCGAGGGCTGCAGGGAACCCAGCGTCCCAGGGGAAGCCCGTCGGCAGGGAGCTGAGGGCTAAGCCCACTGGTTAGCAGGACCTTCCCCCCCCCCCCAGTAGGCGGTCTCACGCGCGACCGCCAGACGAGCGACCGAGAGACGAGAGCGCGCGTAGACTCGCGACGAGCACGAGGAGGA